AATTTTAGTTTAATTTATAGATTAGTCATAGATTCATCATAAAGTCACAAAATAATCATATTGAGTTTAATAGATTCGGTTAAGGTTGTAATAATAGAACTCAAGTTAAATCAATCCTCGTGGGAAAGATGCTTGAAATTTTACAATTTTTACTTTATTACTTGTCAACGAACTGTAGACTTGCGGTGATATAATTTCGAAACATATTTTCGTGAACAACAAACAAAACTTTTGTTGAAAAGCCAAGCCACCCATCTATAATAACACCGGATTGCAAATTGCACAATTGATTTCAAAGAAAGAAACACACACATGAAACACGCACAAAAGAAGAGAAGATAAATCAAATGGCTAATAGTAATCACCGTTTTTCGTGGAGAATAGATTTACTCATAGGTTATTCCTAATATTTTTTGTTTTTGCATGTTTTGTGTGTAATTATGAAGTTTTTCTTGTGTTATGAGTCTAGCTATAGTGGGCAGGGGCTCAACAGCAGCCACCGGAAAAGTCGAGATTGCTGGTAATGAGTGTAAGGAAGTGATTCCTTGAAAATTCCTTAGTTATTGTAAAAGCTAAGGAATAAAATCAGTTACAAAGAGGAGCCTCAGTTACAGTTTTTCTGGTGGAATCTTCAACAATTTGGAGCCTTTTTTGTTGGTAGTTAATAACCGAAATATAGCCTCCTTTTAGGCCTATAAATAGGAGCCTCAGGTAGTGTAAAAGAGAGAGCTCGAAAATGTTTGAATGAAGGGAGCTCGAGACAGAAAAGGGGTGCTTTGGTAGAAGAGGAACTCTAGTAAAGAAGAGGCTTTCAAGAGTGAAAGAGGGATATAAAGTGAGATTGTTTAAGAATGGTAGAATTCTTATAAATCTGGGAAAAATTATTTCTTGTATGACTTCAAGTGTGTAAATCATGTTTTAGCTTTGGTAGTAAAGTGTTAGGAAAAGGTTTTCTTCATGTTTATATTCTATTTTTGTTGCTGGTTTATATCAGTCCTTTGCTGGTTATTTTCATCTGTTTCTGCTGTCAATTTTCTTGCAATTGCTAGTGCATTTTCTTCTTTGTAATTCTGTTGATTGAATGAAGTCATTAAATCCCAACAGTGAGAGAAGCAGGGAGGGGCCGTCGGGGAGAGTCGTTGTGGGGTTGATTGGAGGCCATCTCTTTCATCAATATCGGAGGACAACGTTTTGTCGGAGAGGGTTATTCAACAGCCAACGTAATGGAGACTTAATAGGTAGGGTGGTGCATCCGTTTCACATAGAGATTGTGCTCTTTCTTCGCATCACAATAATGCTCGACAACATTTTTTTCCTACTCCTACATCAATTTTGTTATGAAACCAACCACAGAATTGAGATGTTGAAATAAAATGGCACAATAATAAACTATTTGATCAAGTAAAGGATTAATAAAGGCAAGAATTATGACAGAGGAATTAAGAGATTTTATTAACTCAATAATAATGGATAAGAGAAAAAATTATAATGGATCCTATAATCTAGTAATCATATTTTCTCACATTACAAAATTGTATAGAAGAGCCTAATATTTATATGGAACATGTAGGGGACGTTCAAACTCTCTTGGTAGAATTGTTGATGAAGTAAAATGCCAAAGAATCGAGTCCAAAACGAAATAGGAGAGAAAAAAAAATAAAAAAAAAAACGAAAACAGCGCGGTAGCGCCTAGGCGCTACACCCCGTGCGTTGGGGCTAGTGCTTGGGCTCTCCATGGCTGGCGCCTGGGCGCTGTATCTCGAGCAAATTTCTTCCAAAATTGTTCCAAAGTGTTTTTTTTTCCATTCTGAACTCTTCTTCTTGTCCAATACCAATTTCCAACTCATAATGGGCATCAAAAATAGAACTTCAACTTGATATAGAACTCCAATAGTA